GAGGGGGATGCTCTCCGCCCTCACGCTGCTCAGAGACGCAGGAACCCAGATGCTAGAGATGAAAACAGTAAGCCCTCTGTTTAGCCCGGGCACACCCCAGAGCAGAGACTGTGAACAGTGACCACAGGTGGTGCGTCAGGAACAGCGATACTTTGGCTGGTCTTGGATACATGGACAGCGTTTTAAGCAGAAAGAGGGCAAGGCAAAAGGGAGGAAGAATTTCTATGCTGTGGGAATGGTTCAAACCAAGCAAAGACCACCTCCCCAGATGACCCACTCAGCACAGCGAGGAGAGGGTGGGAGAGCGAGCAAACAGTCGGGCATCTTGTTGACGCAGCACGTTCTCCACTGGTTACACACTGACAAGTGCACTTTTCTGTGGAGAAGAGTTTGGTACCTTGATGACCTTCATCACACAGCACATATTATAAAGCAGGCAGTCAGGTAGAAAACCCACTAACTTTCTTTTTTATTTATTTATTTTTCCTCACCCAAGGACATTTTTCCATTTTTGTTCAGATAGAGTGGGAGGGAGAAAGAGAAAGAGAGAAACACTGATGTGAAAGGGACACATGGAGTGACTGCCTCCCTCACGACACCAGCCAGGTCCGGGAACAAATTGCAACCAAGGTACGTGCCCTTGACCGGAATCGAACCCGCAACTCATTGGTCCGCGGGTCGACGCTCTAACTGCCGAGCCAAACCGGCCAGGGTGAAAACCTGCCAACGGTCTGGTGTAACACTGGCAATGCCACTGCCGCCCTGGGCGTGCCGCAGAGCGTGCTGGCTGCCCGAGGTGGGGCCGAAAGGTCTGGGCCTCTCGTAGCCGAGCTGCGTTCCAGGCACCTTCAGCTCATGGGAAGAACATTTCTCCACCAGCTCAGAGTCATTATTCCCAGTTCAAGGTGATCCGTCGCGTCCATCTTAATCAGATGAAAAACACCAAGTCAATTCCACTTAGAAGAGTCCATCGGGGAGATCTGGGGAGATCGGAGGACTCCCTGGAATTGCCAAAGGCCTTGCAGAGGCCGTCGAGGGGCTGATCCACTCCAAGCCTGGAGACCTGGAGAGTCGTTGCCCCTGTGCCCTCCCTCCAGCACCACCACACCTCGGCCTAGCCCTTTAAGAGCTATCGTGAGAAGAATACCATTCGTGTTTCTAGCATCAACTAGTAACACTGCAGTCGCTTGTAAATGCAGGTGCAGTGAGCACCTGTTCTAAAGCTTTGGAACTCCTGCTAGCTTCCTGAATAACATAAACGTCCAAGTGAAAAGACCACGGTGTCGGGGAAGGTTAAAAAGGAGAAATTAATCATTTATAGCGACACTGAAAGCTCCATTTCCACAAACAACGTATTCGTCTGTGGAGAATATCCCTGGTGGGACTCATGAAAGCAGGAAGCCCAGCCCAGCGCAGCGCCTCAGCGCGGTTCTCACGCCGGGCTGCCTTTCCTGCGGTGCGCAGCTTCCCGGGACGGCTTTGTAACGTTAGGTGCCATCCAAGGAAAAGGCAGTGACTCTCCCGGGAAATGGCACGAGCTCTGGAAGGCAAGGAACCAGGAGACCGAAAGCGCAACGTCCACTGTACTGTGCACAGCTCAACCCCCTGAAAAGGCCACGGTCGCTGCGATCCACTCATCCTTCATGAGGCTGTGACTCCATCCGCACCAGAGACGCTGGAGATCATCGGAGAACCAATTTCCTTCCAAGCATCAGTTTCCCATGGTCATTTTTGCCTTTCCCCAAACATGTTTTCGTACCAAACTGCTTCCGCAAACTCCTCTGGGAGAATCTCTCATAATGTGACCACGGCCACCACATAGTTTTCAAGTGCCCCTCTTCCTACAGCTCTTTCTGACCCCCAGCGCTCCCCAGGTGGGCATGCCTACACCTCCTGGCCCCCTCCCAGAATTCTGCACATCTCACATCACAAATGCGTTAAGACATTTAGTTCAGCTACATGAAGTTACCAGCCTTTGGTTTTTGACTTGCACGGTGGCAACTTCATGAATCAACCTAATATTTCAGATGATCTTCGTTTACTTTATTATTTTTTTTTCTTTATTGATTTTAGAGAGAGAGGAAGGGAGAGGGGGAGAGAGATAGAAACATCCTTGAGAGAGAGCCCCCCACTGGCCCACAACCTGGGCATGTGCCCTGACTGGGAATCGAACCAGCAACCTCTTGGTGCATGGGGCGACGCTCAACCACTGAGCCACACCAGCCAGGCTGATCTTTGTTTACTTTAAATCCAAGGGATGGACTGCATTGTATTTGTGTTTCCCCCACCCACAAAGCTGTGCCCTGTTTAAGAAATCAAGAGGTTTGTTGGGGGAAAAAATGGTTGGCATCATTAGAGATACTATTAACTGATTAGAATACACAAAACTTTTGAGACTAAACATGCATAACAATGGCATTCTAAAAACAGGAGTGCTCACCTGTGCCACCCGACAGGCTGGCACAGCCTCTGGCACTAGCTCTGCCCCTTCACTTCTGCCAGGACAAGGAAACTGCTCTCATTATAAATACATCCTCTTGATCCCTCACACTCAAGTCTTGAGATGAACAAAATGTCCCCAGGCAAATGCTTCCTTGCCCGACTCATAGTTTGGTGAGCTGTCTCCAACTGACACGGAGGAACAGGAAGGCAAGCCAAAACTTTACAGCATGGGACTGCGGTTACCACAGACATTGGGTCACCTACCCTGTCTGGCGGGGGTGTGGGTGTACGTGGAGCCAGAGGCAGACTGGAGCAGACCCTATCATTCACCCACCCTAAGGCAGAACGGCAGAGGTCGCTCACACAAATCTGGCAAAAGCATCACATGGAATCCAGAGAGCAAAATTCTGAACAGTCAGACAAGCTTTCAAGCTCCCTTCGCTCAAATGTACTGTGTGTGCATGTGTGCATGTGTGTGCACGCAAGGACATGTGTGTATACAAGCTCGTGTGTGTGTAGCTCTTTAAGGATTCTGCAGGTTAGGAGAGATAGAAGAAATCACCAGGCGATATTACTCAGAGCCGAGATGTCCTGGGACATAGGTCTGACCATCACGGTTCTGAGCACCTCACTCTCATGGGGTCCTAACAGCAGCCCCGCTGGCACGGTGCCTCCGTTACCCACGTGGTGGAGAGGTTTCGCGACTCATCCACACTTATGGGGCTGGAGAGTGACAAAGTGACAAACTGGAATTTGAACCCAGGCATCTGCTCTGAGTTGAGTTTCTCATCACCACACAGTGATCTCGTCCTGCTCAGCTATGGAGAACACACTTAAATTAGGAAATGATTCAGGCAGTCGGGTTGGTGATAGAGGTTCTCAATTTCCACCGCTGGTTGACTCCATCACAGCCCTCAAACCCGATACACAGCAGGTTCACAGGAGCCCGGGAAAGCCGACCATTGCTGGGTTCCAGGTGGTTCGGGCAGTTAAGGTGCAGTCATGCTGAGCACTAAAGGACTAGACTGCTTCCAGCCACAAAAGCTCATGATAAATACAGATCTGCACCCTGTCAATTGTCCTCTCGCTGAAGGAGGAGGCGTACCTCCTGTCTAAGCCCTTGTCCCAGGGCAGAAGCAGCCGGTCTGGGCAGCATTTCCCTAGCGACCTGCTCCTCCTTTGCTCTCCCGAGAAGTGACCACTGCATACTTCACTGTGGCCCTCGTGTGGATGCATATCAGAGAACCTGGCTGCACCTGGCAGTAAATGAGAAAACGTTGTTGGAAAGACGAGGTGCTCCCAGCACAGGGAGACACACTTAAAGGTGTAGATTTCAGCCTCTCCTTTGCAAACCATCACTGGCAAGGAAAGGGACAAAAGCCAAGTTTCTAAAGCTGCAAAACTAAACACAGGGGCTGGGGGGTGACCAGGCTGGAATTCAGCCCCTGCCAGCCAAGTTCAAATAGCCAACCACGTTTACAAGTGCAAGGGTCCATCAGCAGAACTACGGCTCAGAAAGGCTGGGTCTGGGGGCATTTACAAGATACCCCACAGGAGCAGACATGCAGATGCCAGACATCCAAAGATGGCACAGCTATGACCCTTAGCCATGGATGCAAGTTGACAGGATGGGAACCCTGGACACAGCCCTGAGCCAGTGGCCAGGGGACTGCAGCCCCGTCTCAGAACGATGCCACCTCTGCCCAGCAAGTCCAACAGTGCAGGCTGGTGATGGGAATGCCGTCAGGGCAAAGCTGAGAACGCTCCCGATTTAGAGTGCAAGGCAGTGTCACCAGAGTGCCCAGGGAGCCCCCAGCTGCTGGCTCAGATTCACGCCTTCCTCGGGCGTTGCTGACAGTGTTTGCCTTGTCTAATGAAAATGGTACTTTTGGAGTCAGTTTAGAAAAAAACGGCAACAAATAATTAAATGCAGCCAAAACGAAAAAGGGGGAGCCAGCCACTTCCTTTCATTAAGAAATGCCTGAGAGCTCTCTCAGATTAGCCAGGACCGGGGAGAAGGCCTCCCCAGGCCGGGATGGAGGGGTCAGGCCGAGCGTGTGGGCCCTCTCACCACGGCGAGAGCTGCTCACTGTCTTTTGGGCACAGGTCACCGATTTGGTGCCTGGTAAACGCGGACCACAGAACAAATTTAAACAAAAGCTCTTGTGTTTTTGAAAACTGAAGCAAAGGCTGGGAAGAGTTGCCTTCAGGTGCACTGTGCTTTGTTTAAAACCCAAGTAGACATTCTCATGATCTCTCTCTGGAGCCAACCTCATTTTAAAATGCTGATTTAAATAATCACCCGAAAGGGAAACACCTTGAGACATCCTCACTCAGCGTGCCAGGTAACAACTGCCTGAACTCAGTGAGGGCCACCCCCAGTCCATGGACAAGTGAAGCTTGTGGTCAACTGGTCCCCCAGATCCAAAACACATCAGTCTCTTGCAAGACCAGGATAGCTAAGAAGAGGATTTTGGGGTCCAATTAGTAGTAAGAGCTTCGGGATCAGAATGAAGTTTAAAACTGGCCTCTACCTGTAGTTGCCCCCTCTAGCTGACCTTGAACAAGCCGGATGACGTCCGATACATCAATCTGATGATCACTTTCTTCCGTTTGGGCCTCATTGGATACTCTTGGGGAAGAACAGTCCTTGCTTCCAGTTTTCTTGCGCAAGATAAATCTCCAACAGTCAAACATCAGTCTGTATAGTGGGAAAACAGATTTAAAAGGAGGATGAGGTCACATGCCAATACCTATCAGAGTTATGTTTTTTAACAAAGCTCAAAGAACTAGATACAACCTTTAGCAATGTTAATTCTAAAATGGATAGAGTGTGTTTAAAATTAAATCATTTCATGCCCTGGCTTGTCTGGCTCAGTTGGTTGAGCATTGCTCCATGCAGTAAGAGGTTGCCGGTTCAATTCCTGGTCTGGGCACTTGCCTGGGTTGTGGGCTCAGTCCCCAGGAGAGGGTGTGGATGGATGTTTCTCTCTCATAGATGTTTCTCTCTCTCTCTCTCTCTCTCTCTCTCTCTCTCTCTCTCTCCCTTTCTCTCACTCTAAAATCAATAAAAACATATTTAAAAAAAATAAATTTATTCTTCTCCAATGAACTTCTACTGAATCAATGTTCATTTAACCAAGAAACCTTCTTTTATAATATTGAAGTGAAATAAAGGGTTGCCTAAGCAAAAATATTCATTTCTGCTGCTTCAGAGAAAGCAAAACCTAGATTTTCCCCTTGACATTTAGGCTCTTGTTTCAAGGATATGAGAGCCCCTGGCTCTCCTGGTCTCAATGTCACAGTCTACTTCACTGAACTGGCAAACTTTCAAAACCATTGTTGATGGCTTATTCAGATTACTTGAGAACATTTTAAATCCTCTAAGTAAAGAATGTCCTCAGAGTTCCAGAACAAACATTAAAATCTTATTCCTCCAGTGAAATTTTGGAAAATAAGCTTAAATCAAGTTTTTTGGAAGCAATCTTGAATTTAAAGAGACAACTAGTAACTATATCTCAAACAGAAGCCTTCATGAGGTAATTACTAACTACACTTCTTTATACTTATAGTCTTTTAGCATATTTATGGTTCATTATTATTTCCTCCTGTTGGCTTAATACCTGACAGTCTCCCTTCTTTAAGAATAAAAGTGTGCCCTGGCTGGTTTGGCTCAGCAGTGGACTGAAGAGTCTCGGGTTCGATTCCAGTCAAGGGCACGTACCTCGGTTGCAGTTTGTCCCAGCCCTGGTCAGGGTCATGCGGGAGGCAATCAGTCTATGTGTCTCTCTCACATTGGTCTCTCTCTCTCTCTCCTTCCCTCCCTCGCACTCTATCTGAAGATAAAAGTGGAAAAAAGTATCCTCAGGTGAGGATTTAAAAATAAAAGAAAGTGTAAATAATTTGATGTATGGCTCCACAAGCAACCCTGCCTTTCCATTGTTCTACTGACATGCTGTTTCATCAGTTTCAGGCTTGCTTGAGCCCCTGCCTCACGCTCACCCCCCAGCAAACCCTGACCGCCCCTCAGGGAGAGCACTGGGAGACAACACAGTAGCCTGCCCGGGGCCGCTGTTCTGCGTCTCCACCTTTCATTCCGCCCATAGAGGACCTCCCACCCCCCAAGCTGCCCCGGGACAGGCCCCACACACTCCTTCCCTCCGGTTCTCCCTGATCTCTGGCCACAGCGAGGTTCAAAGGTCTGGGCATCTGGGCAGCTTCATACGCTCCCCCAGTGCTGGCCAGCCATAGGGAGGGGGTTCCCACATGCCACCTACATGAGCACTGCAGCACTGAGTCTCAATAATCATTCCAGAGAGAAAGGAGCCACCACAGGACAGGGGGTCACACAATTCAGATCCCAAATGCTTTGGGGTGTTACCAACTCCACACCCATTTCTAACGAGAAGATACATTTCTCCCACCTCCTCGTCCTGCCCAAACACACAACTCCGCTGGGCTACACAGCCTGTCCTGTAAGGTTCGCCCACCCCTGTGTTTTCATTAATGCAGCTGTTGCTCAACAACTTGTCACCTATATGTACCTTTCATGTCACTCTTCCAGGAATGTCTTCCGGATTTCTATAACCTGTTCCAAAATTCTTTGCACAGCACTGTTCCCAGGAACCTTCCCAGTGAAAAGGAGAGAGGAGCCATATGCCACACCCACTCCCCTCCGGCAGGACCTCGGACCTCGGCAGGTGTCACTTGTCCTTGCTCCCAGCCTCATCTCCCCCAGACAACCAGACCATGCCTGCTGCTCCAGGAAGGGTACAGCCTGTCACGCTCGGCCAGACCCAGGTCTAAAGGCTTCTGATTGCTTGAATCTAGTTTTGACATTAAAAAGGAGGAAGTTTTTTTCTGATTTAAAAACAAAACAAAACAGAAAATTCTGTTTTGTCCTCTTTTCTTACAGAGCCTACTGGGAGAATTTCAAACACGAGCAGGCTGATTGTGATCTTAAACCTCCAGAAGGGACCAAGAGAAGGCCCAGTGCATGCTGGTTCTTCTGTCCCCACTGGCCTGGATCTGCCCCCTGGTCCCGGGAGACAGCTTCCACCAACCCGAGAGAGGTTCCTGCTGCTTCTGACCTCTATTCGGCAAGACTTGACAAGTATCAGTGTTCACCCGGTCTCAAGATACAATTGAGAAGATCTAAGGTTTGGCTTTAATTTAGTTTGTTCTGAAAAACAGAACAAATGTGCCCTTCACCTGAGTTGACGGTGAGGGCACCCCCCACTTGGACAGGACAAGGTCCAGGGCTGCCTCCCCTTCCTGGCAGGCCAGCCTCGGGCACCTGAGACTGCTGGGTTTTGCTGAGGACAGCTGGTGCCAGAGGCCCGAGAGGGTGGGGCTTCTGCCCAAGGCTCCCTCCTCCCACTAGAAGTTTACTTTTCAGCTGCTTTGGACAACGGCATCCCCAAAAGTGAAACATGCAGAGACGCAGGCACAGGAGCGAGGGTGGTCTCTCCACGAGCAGGTTGTCCACAGCTAGTGTAACCCTTGGGGCACAGAGGACAAGTCCAGATGTCAGACCCACCTTGGGTGTCATTAATATCTGTTCACTTTAACAATTTCAAGACTGGCATAACCACAGAGCAGCAAACCGTGTCGATGCCCTTCGGGTGTGCTGTTTTCCACCGGCAAAGCCCCGCTGAGCACGAGGACCGGGCTGCAAGGACAGCAGGCCAAGGCTGGTCTTTGTCTCTCTCTCGAGCTCCAGGTGTCTCGCACTCAGCACACAGATGAGAACTCGGCCACTGGACAGCTGGGACGTGGCCAAGCACAGTGGGAGATCCAAGTCAGCTAGCGTCACCGCTCTTCTGTCTGCTCGGCCAACATTCCAGCGCTGCCCGCACGGTCCACCTGGGTGCTGAGGGCACAGTCACCAGGACAGCCCCACCCTCAAGGAACCGAGTCCTGGGAGCGCGGTCTGTGCATGGACCTGCGTTCCACGCAAACGAACACGCCGCCATCCGGCTCGCAGAATTCACGCTCCTGGCGCAGGCACAGCCCTGGGGAGTGCGATGGCGGGAGGCTGGGGCTGTCCCTGCACCGCACAGACTCGCACTAACAAGAGCGTGATTGCGTTCGTGTGGAAAGTTGACTCTGTCTGCGCCAGCTGCTTCTCAGTGGAAGCAGGAACACTAGAAAAATGCATTTAAAATGGGATTATCCCATCAGGCTGCATTGTTGGCACTCACAGCAACCGCATTATCGGCTGTGAGTTGCCCATACTAAAATGTAGCCTCACCACTCAAAACAGAAGGAAGGCGGCCCTAGGAAGGGAGAGTTGAAGGGGAGGGGAGACCCGTGTCCAGGGGTGAGGGGCCCAGCTGCTTTTCCTGGGTGTTTATCCCCTTACCTCGTCACCTCCTCCTCCACTGCTCTATCCCCCACCTCTCCATCTATGTCCGCCCGCACCCCCACGCCTCCACCTGTCCCCACCCCTCACTCGGACCCTCGTGTGGACAGAGCAGGCTGTCCCCTGAGGAGTCAGTCCTGTTCCGCACTCTTTCTGAGGCCCCAATCCTGAATCAGAAGCAGACGAGGAAGAAGAGATACACTGCGAGGATGTTATATGCCTGCCAGCAGGTACCTCATTGTTGTCCACATGGCCACTTTTTTACTAAAATGTTTCAGAATGTTGTCTATGTTTCAATTTCGTGATTTGAATAACATTCTTCACTTTCTCAAGAGATTGGGCTGAATGGCCCACACTGTGAGGTACACCTAACAAACACTTCACCGGACAAGTCCCAAAGGTCTCCTGCCTGGTGCAGGCTCTTCCGATGGACAGGTGGCCGCTCCATGCCGCCCCCAGCTGGTCGGGACTGCTCCTTCGGGCTCCCAAGAGATAATGGGAGGTTCTGGGGAAGGGTTGGATTTCCTGCGGATTCCGGAGCCAACTAGGGCTGCCTGAGGCTTGATGAGTCGCATTCAGGAAAGGCCCCTGACCACAGAGTCAAGATGTGCGAGAGTTTCATGGTACCGCGGAGTGTCTGGTATCCTATCGTGGGCTGGGAGTTCTGAAAGTTTTACTTGAGGATCATGGTTATGTCCCAAAGGAGGAAGTGCTACAGACAAGGCTATGACAGCACAGAGCCCGTGAGGACACTACGAGCCTCGGGGGAGTCCTCAGGGGGTGCCGTCCGGGCCGCTTTCCGCTGCCCCGTGACAGCTGTGCAGCCAAACTGAGCCTGTTCCCTGCAGCCTTTTCTGCAGTGCAGGCGCCCAGCCCAAGCAGTCCTCTCTGCAGGTGTTTGGGTGAAGACTCAAGCCCCATTCTCTACTGTCCTCTTCAAGGGAGAAAAGTCACTGAGCATCACCGGGCCTGCTTCGGCTGTGGGCTCCAGGCCCACCTCGGGCAGGTTCGGGGAGCTCAGGGACCCAGGAGCCTGCGTTCTAACAAGCAGCCTATGAGACCGCACAGGCCGCAGGCCTCTCTCCCCTGAAGATCACTGTGGAAATGAGCCTGTGTGTCCTACACGCTCAGCTCAGTTTCCCTGGTTTCATGAGCTGACATAAGGAATAAAATGGGCCCTGGCCAGTTTGGCTCAGTGGTTAGAGCCTCGGCCCACGGACCAATGAGTCACAGGTTTGAATCTGGTCAAGGGCATGTACTTCGGTTGTGGTTTGTCCTGAGCCCTGGTCAGGTTATGCGGGAGGCAACCAGTTGATGTGGCTCTATCACATCAATGTTTCTCTCTCTCTCTCTCTCTGTCCCTCCCATTCTATCTGATGATAAATAGAAAAATATCCTTGGGTGAGGAATAAAAAAATAATAATAATAATAAAACGGAATAAATTTAAGAGAAAGAAGCTAAGCTTTACACAGAACATTACATTTCTCACGTGATTGTTACTATTACACTTCTAGCTACTACTTCTCCAGGAGCCTCTTACAATCATACCATATCAACTAAATTGGGGGCCAGGTGCTGTCAATCAGAAGCATTCTGGAGACTACTACAGTATCATCTATTTCCATTTCAGGCTTTTCCCCAGGTTACAAAAGCGAATCAGATAACCCTGCTGCAGAGACCTCTCCTTTCGAAGTGACTGTAATGTCATTTCGAGTCACCAAGATGCTGCCTTCCCAAGATAAACGTCCAGATTTTATTTAAAATCTTCACCCTCAAAGAGGGAGCATGTCAGCTAGACAGTTGATCTTGGACCACCTGGTTATGACATGAATGCACTCAAGCCCAGCAGTGAAGGGGATGGGGAGACACATAATCAAGAGATTTCACGCAGAGATGTTCCCCCTGCACTGCACACTGCTCTCTGCAGATCCAGTCCCCTTTATACGTTAAATTACTGTCCCCCTCCTAAATGTTCTTGCAGGTTTCTTGTAAGAAAACCTTGCCTCTACCACTCTTTAAAAATAGAGTCTCTCCAGAAATCTGGAGTATGTAACGCAAAGAGTTGTGGCTAAGCTTCCAAGCCCCCGAGCCCCCCCTCAGGTGCAAGCCCCTTGCACAGTGCTCTACAGCAGCCTTTCACACAAGCGCTGGTTTTCACAGTTCTGTGAGGCAGACAAGGTAAGCGTCACCTTCATTTCACATAAAGCAAAACTGGAGTTCACAGAAGCTTTGGTGTTCTTGACCGTAACTGGTCAGGAGTGTTAGCTGCCACCGCATATGGTCCCTGCCAGACCGGGAAGTCAAGGTTTGGGAGGGCGCTGCAGGGCCCGAAGCAGGGGAAGGGGTGAGGGTGAGGGGCTGAAAAGCTAAGGGAGTCCTAAAATAGAGCTGAAAACTCTTTCTTCCTATTGGTCCCATTTTACCAACTCATCCTCCTCTCCACCCGCCCAGGACGACAGGACAAGACTGTCCTCTGTCCCCATGGGTGTGAGGAGATGGCGGCAGTCGCTTCCAGTGGCAGATGATCGAAGGAGGCTGGGACAGAACTCAGAGCTCAGGAAAAGTTTGGTCTGAGAACTCGGGTGACAAAGCCAGCTTCGGGCCGGTCAGTTCATCGACTTGCACACTAGAAGACCCTCCAGTGAGGGCTCCTCAGTGGGCCCCCACCTCCACACTTACCAGCCAAGTGGGGTCTCCTGCCTGCACAGGAGGGGGCTGCAGACACTCCACCACCAGCGGCCCCTGGGGCTGAACTATTTTGGTGGCTCAGCCCTGCCACTTGGTGGCCACACATCCTGGGGCCTCCCACAGCCAACCCCTGCACATCCTGCCTGTGAGCTCATGGTCACCTTAACCCCTTCCCCGGCTCGGGCTCACAGGCAGTCTGTTAGGGGCAACATCAGGCCACCTGCTCCTGGACGGGACGTTTCCAGTAAAGTTAATACTGCAGTTGCTCTAGAAAAAAGTCTCCTTGCCGGTTGCTCTCCACCCCCACCCTCCTCCACCACGGATCATATTTAAGTGTTTCGTGCTACACAGGAGCCAAAGGGATGAAGAGCAACAAAGGTGACTTTAAACACATGTGGTAAGAATAGCCCTGGAGTTGAATGAGAACACGGCATTCTCTTTTTTAAACTGCAGGAGTTTTTTCCTTACCCTTTTGGGAGGCAAAGCTGCTAGACTTTGAGCCAAGCCCCCTTTCCACTGCTGAGCTGGGGTACCTGCCTGGAGGGGTGCTGCTCAGGCAACACCCAGGCACATTGTCCTGTCCCTGCACCTGTCCCCTAAACTGCTACATCAGCAGGCCCAAGGTGGGAGAACTTGGGGTGTGGCTCTAGAGGTAAGAAGGGACCTCAGGAGGAGAGGGTACCCTTGGGTGACACCTGCCCATGACCACGGAGAGGGGCATCTATGCAAGTAGAAGCGGCGCCTGGGGACGCCCTGGGGAGGCGGCCCCCACCTGAGCTCCCTGGGCAGGGATACCTGGCCCTCCCAGAGGCCAGCCGGCGCGGGGCAGCGGGGCGCTGCGGGGGGAACAGTCCGAGCCCGCCCAGACCACAGTCCCTCTGCCTCCCGGGCGCCGGTCCGCGCCACCTCCTCCTGCCACACGCCATCCACCCCTCCCGCCGCCCGCACACCTGCACCCGCCGTGGGACCTCCTCCTCGCGGTCCTCGGTTCTCCGTCCTCCACGCCCGCAGGTGCCCACAGGTGCCTGTGCGCTGACGCCACCGCCTCCTGGGGCCGCCGGACATGGGGGGAGGGGCGGGGGAGGGGGCGGGGGAGGGGGAGGGGAGGAGAGAGGGAGGGAGGGGGAGGAGAGAAGGGCAGGAGAAGACGGCAGGGGGTGGGTTCGGAGGAGAGGGGCGGGAGAGGGAAGGGCCCGGGGGCCGCGGGACAGGGGAGGGGGAGGGGGAGGGAGGGGAGGAGAGAGGGAGGGGGGAGGAGAGAAGGGCAGGAGAAGAGGGCAGGGGGTGGGTTCGGAGGAGAGGGGCGGGAGAGGGAAGGGCCCTGGGGCCGCGGGACAGAGGGAGGGGGCGGGCATGGGGGCAGTGGAAAGGTGGGCGGCGGGATGAGGTAGAGGGAGTAGGGAAGGAGAGGGAGGAGGGAAGGAGGAAAGGGAGGAGTCCGGAGGAGAGAGAGCCGAGGCGAGGGCGGAGAGCTCAGGGTGCGGAGAGAGGACCGGAGAAAGGGATTAACTTTGGGGAGAGGGGCTGGATGAACAGGGGTAGGAAGGAGGTGGGGAGAAGAGGCCGGGGAAGGGGCGGGGTAAAGGGGAGGAGGGGCGGGGGCGGGGGCGGGAGGGGTTGAGCCGAGGGAGCGGGTGACAGGTTGCGGGGCGGAGGGGCCGCCTCCAGCCCGGCCCTCCCGGCTCCCCTGCGTGGCGGAAGACCCGTCGGGTCAGCCGAGAGCAGACTGCTGGGGTCGTGTCAGGGCCGGGGCTCCTGCCTCTACGCCTGGGGTCACTCGGACCCGGGACTCAGACCGCGGGACCGCAGGGGCATGGGCTGGACTTGGGGGTCTGCTCCAGATTTTTCCGGGCCCCGACCCCACATCCCGGGGCTCACCTGGAAAACGGGGGTCCTGCCTGCTCCCTCGAGGGACCGGGCCAGAGTCAGCCAGAAGGGAGAGTCCTCTCTGAAGCCCCAGGTCCCACGCTGGGACCCCAAGCTGCCCTCGACCTTCCTCTGAGCTCCGCGACTTCCCTGGAGGACGAGCCTGCGCTTCGCCCTCGCGGGTGGCGGCTCGGCCACCTGCCGGGCTCTCCAGGGATGGGAGGAGGCTGTGCCCGCACCGAGCAGATCGCCACCGGAATCAGGGCCCCTATTAGGGCTATGGCTGCCCATTTTCAAGTCCTAGGGCACTTGGGGTAGGCAGGAGCTCACTGCACCCCTCCTTATTTATGCAAAAGAGTGTCCCTGAGAGGCGCCCGCAGGGCCTTGTGCCTCGGAGCTGGCTGCTTGGGTACCTAACCTTGGAACACGTTTGCAAGAAGAGGAAAAAAGTCCCCGTCTTTTAATTCTTGTGTCTTCCAAGATTCCAGGGAAAACATAAGTTCTCGATTAGAACTTTAAAAAGTTATGTAGAAAGACTATAAAACATCCTAAACGTTGATTTAGACAGAACCTTCGATTGGGGCTTTAAAATGTCTGCATTTAGTGGGTGGCCTGCTTGAATAAAACAAAAACGGAGTTCTGCCCAGAGGGAAATGAATATAAACCCAGAAGGAAACTCCAAGTGCAGGACACGCCACCTTGAGGAGTCACAGTGCTGCCTCAGCCCCTGCCCAGGACATTCGCTGGTACTGACCTGGAGGAGCGAGTGCCTGGGCCCTGACCCTCATGGAACTGGATGGGCCCAACAGCACCACCTGAGGACTGGGGACCATGAGGGTGTGCCCTGGCAGGTGCAGCTCAGTTGGTTGAGCATCATCCCATGCGTGGAGAGGTCTCTGATTCATGTTGGGGACATGCCTGGGTTGCAAGCTTGATCCCCAGTAGGGGGCATAAAAAAATCAATAGAAACATATTTAAAAAGAAAAGAATGAGTGTGCTCCCCGGTGCCCAGGTGTGCACCCTGGGACCGCTCTGCAGAGGGACCCAGGCTCTCCTGCCTAGGATGCTGAGTCTCCAGACCCCAGGCTCTCCTGCCTAGGATGCTGAATCTCCAGACCCCAGGCTCTCCTGCCTAGGATGCTGAGTCTCCAGACCCCAGGCTCTCCTGCCTAGGATGCTGAGTCTCCAGACGCCGGGCTCTCCTGCCTAGGATGCTGAGTCTCCAGACGCCGGGCTCTCCTGCCTAGGATGCCGAGTCTCCAGACGCCGGGCTCTCCTGCCTAGGATGCCGAGTCTCCAGACGCCGGGCTCTCCTGCCTAGGATGCCGAGTCTCCAGACGCCGGGCTCTCCTGCCTAGGATGCTGAGTCTCCAGACGCCGGGCTCTCCTGCCTAGGATGCCGAGTCTCCAGACGCCGGGCTCTCCTGCGGAGGTGCTGGAGCAGGTGCTAGGTGCCCCATGAGAACAGGAGCTCCTGAGTCAACAAAGCCACAGGATTCACTGAGGAAGGGGGCAAGCTGGGCTGGAGATCTGGGGTGATTTGAAGGAGACAGGAAGTTAAACGGAAGGGGAACTCCCTCAGCCCAATAGTTTCCCTCACAGAATAAGCCCGGGAGACAGGAGGTGCTCATTACTGGAAACACCCCCAAAATTCTGTGAGAAAAGGATCAGAGTGGGCCAATGTGGTGTTCCTTACCTACTTTTTTTTTTAAAGACCAACACCACATTTCCCATGGAAACATCAAAGACCTTCTGGTAACAGAGATTCTCTCTGACAAGCTATATTAAATTTCATTTAACTGAATGATAAAAGTCCAAAGGGAGACAGGATATGCAAGCAGCGAGCATGGCTGCTGCAGAAAAGGGGGGGGGGAGTGGCCGGTGACCCGAGCTGAAACCCCAGCAGGAGAATGTGTGCAGGCTGTAGGCTTGAATCCCAATGGGAGGTGGCACAGCATTGACTCCAGTGAGGCTCAGGAAATGACCATCCCAAAGGGCTTCTAGCAAGTGCACCGGAGGAGCAGAAACGGAAGGGATCATTCATGTGAGGCATTTCATATGCTTGCGTTAGAGCATCCAGCCATCATCACTCCACGTTCAGAGCTCACGGCGTCTTGGCACAGGTGTGCTCCAAGTTCTGTCCCGAGAGTGAAAATTTCCAGTTCACCTGCTGCAGAGTCCCCATCAGCCACAGAGACTGAGAGCAGTCAGGTTGCATTTAGCACATCTGGAAGGTTATCTGGTGCCTCGTGGATGGAGCTCCATCTGGTCACTGTGCCAGTATGTAGTTCAGAAAGGTTCATCTTCCTTCCAGATTCCCCCCAATTTCTCTGACTTAGTGTGTGAAACGTTACCATCTGAGATGCCGTTCTTTACGTAAAGCATTGCTCCCAAAAGTCTAGGGTAAAAGAAGTAATAACACGTTCGCTGGTAAACACTTCATTCTCCATGAGATGAAAAGGTGCCGGGACACCCTTCCTCTTCAGAAGACCTAGGCACCCTCAGTGTGTCTCCAGACCTGTCCGCCATGCTGCGTCCAGGGTGGAGCGCAGACACACTGGACACACTGGAAGCTAGTTGAGGGATGGTTGTTGGGAGCACTGAGGTGCCCTGAGGGGCTGTCCTTTGTGGGGGGTGCTGCCTTCCATCCCTAGAGCTTCAAAGAACCAGTCTGAAGCTGAAGGGAAAGAAAACATCATCTCCTCCTGCCCCTAAATCAGCAGCAACCCTGCCTTGACCGTGGCAGCAGCCATCCCTCCCTCCCTCCCTCCCTCCTCCGGAAGGCAGACATGCACAGGGTCTGGGTTAATGGCTGCTCTGCTGGCCAGCTCATGCCCCGTGCCCCGTGTCTTCTCCAGCTGGTACTGCAGCCCCACATGGGAGGGCTTCTACAGATCTGCTTCTGAAAGCAAATGGTCCCCAAAATGCTGGCTCAACAGGACAGGTGGGGTGGGGCCCGGAGCCCTTCAGGCATGGGGTTTGTTCAGGCAGCGACATGCCAGGCCCCGAGCTGGACACTGGGCATTCACAGGGGACACAGCATAGTCTGCAGCTCCGTGGAGCTCACCTCCTGGTGTCAAGCTGGGCTGTGAACACAGACAAGGGGAGAACAGACGGAGCACCTAGTGGTGGGGGTCCCAGTGGAGCAGGAGACAAACGCCCGAGTTGGGTGGGCTGGGAAGAG